ACCGGCAGCCCTCAGCCCAGAATTCCTTCCAGACGCCTTCCCTGACTTGTCTAACCAGGCCAAACCCTATCCCACCTCGGGTGCATACAAATCCTACCTCCATTGTTCAGCTTACCAAGCTGAGTGTTCATTGCAAACAATGGCTGCCAGTGAAAGGGCCAGGCTGGGCGTCCCGCTCTTAGGTCTGGGGCCGTCCTGTTCTTGGGTGGCTCCTACTCTGCAACCGCCTCCCCAGTGGCTTGGATGACACAGGTCCCAAGCTAACTGTCGCTTGCGCAAGGCCCTCTGCTCTACCCGTCTCCACTCCAAGAGGAAGGTGCTTGGAGAGAAGAAGGAGAACATGGGAGCCAAGAGTCTTCCAGTCTCTCCCTGGTTCAGTCATTCTAATGGAATGGGGTTTGGCAAAAAGTCCAGAGATGTTGGCAGGGGAATCGGGCATCTCTTAAAACCGGCCAGCCCAGGCTGAGGATATCCCTGAGAACACAAATCACTCCCTGGCAAGTCAAGGAAGAAGCAGATGCATCTGACAGTCAGAACACTGTGCGAAGGAAGGACAGAGACTGCAGGCAGGCAGGATTTTTTAAAAAGGGAAGAATACACTTTCAGAGTGGAAGACAAGGCCCATCAAGGGGCCCAGAGTGTGTCGTGCATGAACTGTGGGCATGGTGGTGCTCCACCTCATTTTAGTCACAATGTTCCCAGATCAGAACCCACAAAGAAAGGCCTGAGCAACGAGTAAGCACAGGGTTGCTTCTCTACTCACCTAAAAATCCCCCTGTGCCTCCCCAGTAGGGTAAGGAAGACTCAAGCTGGACAATCATCTCAACAAAGTGGGGGGGGGGGAGGCGAAACGTAAGCCGGGCTAAGGAAAGATCCCAGCACACACCTGAAAAGCTGCTGCCCGGAGCAGCTGCCAGTGAGGATCAGGCATGGCTCCCACTGCACAAGGGGGTCTGTGGGGGGCCTTTGTGGGGCCTTTGCACAGGAGGGCCCACCTACCCAGGAGCAGGGCCTGTTAGCTATGACCAGAAGGTAACGTGATCTATTGTCCAGCAGCACACAACACACCCACCACAGCACAAACCTGAGACGCGATGTGGGCCCCACAAAGCTGATAAAGACGCTGGCCGTTCTGATGGAAGATTAGGTAATGAGCACTGGTATGGAGTCAATACTGGGCTGGAGGCCAGCGAGGACGGCTGGGTCGACTGAGAATCCCAACTACCGGAATCGGAAAAGGAACTCACATCACCATGGGCTTGAATGGCCCACGCTTAAGAGAGCTATCTTTCATTCAAGGTGTCGTGGACACCGTCACTGTGCTTGTTCAGCATCTGCTTCCCAGGCTTTGGGACAACATCTCAAGCCAGCTTTAAAGAACCTCTCTTCTCCACTTGCACTGCATGGGGTTCTGGCCTCCACCGGTTCCCGGGCTCAAGTCTTAAGTCCCTCCTTTACCAGATATGTAACTAACCCCGGGTTAGTCATAAAGTCTCAATCGTTTCGCCGGCCAGCTGCCAGCCCTGCCTAACCCATCAGGCTGTCAGGCGATCCAGGGAGACACACTGTACTGTAAGCACTCTGTACTACGAGCTTCTGTTCTAGGCAGGGCTGGGCTCTTCTTCCCTAATGTAAGAGTCCTCCAGTAACAGGGCCCAGGGAATGGAATCGTGACTACCTGTAATGAGTGAGAGCCCAGAGGAAAAAGAGGACTGACATAAAAGCACGCGGCCTCTAAGGAGGGGATCTGTGACTCCATCAAGTCCTCTGAGCTGAGAACCTTGTAACATGTGCGCACACCATGCTGCCTCACCCCATTAGGACAAACCCCTCTCCGTTCCTTGGGTCAACGGAGAGGACTTAAAAAAAAAAAAAAAACCTCCCCAAAGGCTTCTTGTTTGCTTCAGCCACAAAGGACTGGAGGCATCTTGTGTAGATGATCACCTTGGATATGCCGCTGCACAAAGACTCATTTCTGGAGGCTTCACTGATGCACACAGGACTCTAACATGCGCATTCCCTGGAGAGGAAAGGAGGAGGCAAGGCTGGTACTGGTGCTGGGTGGATGCCAAGCTTCGTGGCACCCTGCTCATATCACCCCACTGGTTCATGTTCAGGCAGCGCAAGACGCGCTGAGGAGCCAAGCAGGGTCAATAGTATTTGCTTTGCAGAAACATCTGTTGCTAGAAAGGCAGAAAGAAAGCTGGCCGGAGCTAAGTCATAACCCGCTGCCTCTGGGGAGGACAAGTATCTGTTTCACAGAATAAGTAGGCTCTGACTCTGAGTGAGGAGACCAGGCAGAGAAGGGCTAAGAAAGCAGCTAGAAACCTGGCCTTGCGAGGGTGTTCCCAAAGCTGTCTGCTCATAGGGGACCAAAGGAAAGTGCCTTTCTCTTCCTGGTGATGCCAAGCTCTCTGCCACAGCAGATACTAATCTGCACCAAGTTTAGGAGAATTTAAGCCAAGTATGTTATTTTCTTTCAGTAAAACAGGTTGTCATAATTTTTTTTAAGTTAGAATCTGCATTAATTTATACAAGTTTTACCAGTAATACCACACGTCAAGCCATTTCCTTTTTTCTTTTACAACTAAACATACATAGGCATACCCAAACCCAAGCACATGGACGCCCACATAACGACGGGCTCAAGGTAACCTTACAATCATACTCTCAGTGCACCTATTACCTTTCTCTGACCTCCAACGTTACCAAAATTGTATATAACCACCCTTAAAATTTTCTGCTACTCTGTCGCATCTCCCTGGACTTAGAAACTGAATACAGATAATAAAGACCAACCGCCGAGGTAAGTACTTGCCACAGGCTTGGCCCCTCGGCTGGCTATTGCACAAGAATACCAAGTCCCCAGGCTTTGCTCATCTCTCCTTTCTCTGATGCCAAGCATACTTGCTCTCTGTGCCTCACCATCTGGTGTTCGGAATGATTCTGGAACTGTGCGTGAGTGGTTTCGTGCCATTGTGTACGGGTGCATGGCACAGGGCTGGTCAAGGGGACCCTCAAAACCTGCCGTAGTGATCTGACTGGGCACAGCAAGTACAGGCGGACTTACAGGTGGGGTGTCTGATACTCCCCCAAAACAGAGGGCCCATGGTGAGAACTGAGGTGGGCATCAGCCCCTTAGACTACAGCCGTTCCCTATTCCCAGGTAAAACGCAACATGCACAAAAACAAATTCTCTCTCCTCTCCTATCTCCTCCCACTGGAGCCACCTCAGGGCCTCTTCCTGAGTCTTCAGTACAATTAAAAGGCACCACCATTCTTCCTGCCACACAAGCCACGTGCCATCCTTCACAGTGCAGCCCGTCCCAAGTCTGTCTATGTTACCACCTAAGCATCTCAATTCTGCTCACTCCTCCCTGACACTATCAGCAACCCCTGAACCAACTACCCCATCTGCCTGGATAACTGCAACCGCCTCCTCTCTGGCCTCCCCACATCCACTTTTGTCCCTCTGGTCAGTTCTCCACCCGGTTGTGTCAGCTCCTGCAGTGAATCCTGCGAAGGGTTCCCAGAGCTCTGAAAACCAAGTCCCTCCCAAGGCCTGAGAGGCCCTGCAGGGTGTGGGCCCCCCCACCTCCCTCCATGGGACCCAGATGCTCTGGCCTCTGCCAGTTCCTGAGATGCGCCCCACTTCTACCGGCAGCCCTCAGCCCAGAATTCCTTCCAGACGCCTTCC